GAGGAGGAGGAGAGGAAGAGGAGAGGAGGAGGAGGAGAGGAAGAGGAAGAGAGGTTAGGTGAAAAAAGAGGGTATACAGGATTTGTGAAGTTTAAACACATCATGAGAATCTGTGCATTTGAAATGTTTTTCATTTTGTGTGGATCCGGAGAAAAAGTTCAGATTGAAGAAATGTTTTGTGTCGTTCTTCATCATCAGAATAATTCATGGATCTAAATCAATCATCTGGAGGACTGATGTCTCTGAGTGTGTCTGGTAAGAGACCCTCATCCTGGGGAACCCAAGGGCCTGCTGGGATATGTAGTCCCTTCAGTGAGCTCTGGGTCTTCTGCAGCTGAAAACACGTCCACACCGGCGTCGGCTGGAACCTCCTCGTCTTTCCAAGTGGACGTCTTCGTCTTCTACGTGTACGGCTCCTCTTCTTCACCCTGAGACATTTGAGTTCTTCCAGTTTCACGTCCGTCACGTGTTAGAAACCTCGTCAACACGTCCACTCGCTCACTGAGAAGGTTCCAGATGTTTTCTCACATGGTCTCAGGAGAAACTCTGTGTTTCTGAAAGCAGCTTCAGTTTAATCTCATGATGAATCTTTCCTCCTTCTTCTCCTCTGAAAGTGTTTTCAGGTCTTCAGGCTGAGAGCTGAAATGTACGGTGGCCTTTGTAGACACGACCTCTGCCACAGAGCAGCGTCACAGTTCAATCCTCCGTCTGCTCTCACAAACACTGTCCAACATCTGCACACATGTGGTGCACTGGAGGAGCAGCTGATGTTTACTGCAGCTCTACTGTCCTGTGACTGTTCATGCTTCTGTCATCGTGTCCTGTCACAGAACAAACACTAGAGGACCTTCTAGAGCTGGACACAGACAAAGAGCGGCAGAGTGGGGGGGTGGTCGTTAACAAACCACAGGACTTCTCCATTTTCACTTAATCTACTTTACAGCTTTTTACAAAAACACATTATGTCTCCATGTCTTTCTGTCATTTAACGACCGACCTCGTTAAGGTGGTGTCTAACGTCTGGAGCGTCCACAGGACGAAATGAAAACGGGGCAGAATATCAATATGGCTTAGCGGAGCGGAGCGGAGCGTCATCATCGATTGATGGAGAGAGTGTGTTTCTCCAGAGGATCGACACACTGTGACAACTGAAGTGACACAAAGCTGCCGAGTGGTTTTCAACCTGACGCTCCAGAGCCCGACTCCGACATGACACGATCATTAATACTGTAAATATTCTACTTAAATACGAAAACACACTCACACACACACACACACACACTTATGACAGCATCATGATGCTTCAGCTCAGAGTGAGAGCAGCTAATTGCCTGCCTTCACTGTGGGGGTTCAGCTGTTCCATGACACACACACACACACACACACACACACACACACACACTAATATAACCTTAGGCCCCTTTATCGCTCTACAAAAGTGTCTCCCACTAAAGTTCAGCTGTGAATTATTAAATGCAATTAATCAGCGTGGACCAGGGACATGTTTAATTGGCACAGGCAGTGTGTGTGTGTGTGTGTGTGTGTGTGTGTGTGTGTGTGTGTGTGTGTGTGTGAGAGTGTGTGTGTGTGTGCTCTGCTTATTACATCTTCTAATTTAATCATTCCTGTTACGTCCAAAGGCAACGTCGTATTTGCATTTTTCATTTTGTAATTTGAATTGTCCAGCGTGTCCAGAAGCAAACAGACTAATGATGTGTGATGAAATATTCAAAATACATTTTCAGATTTGTCGAAGACGGAAGTAATTTTAACGTCTCCGAGACTCTGAGGCTGAAGATGATGATTCATTTAAATCTTATCAAAACAGAAAAGGAGGTGGATGGAATCTGGTTCCCCAGTTATTCCAGGACGCTCGTCTCAAACCTCCTCTTCTCCATTTCCTTTGTCCTCTTCTGAGTCGACTCTCTGACATGTCTTTCTCTTTCTCTAATTTTAAAGGACAGATTCCTTCCCCCACCCTCGTTCCCCAACTCTGTAGAAAACGAGTTTCCGGGGCGATTTTCTTTGTTAAAAGCCATTAATTAGGTTAATTGAAGAGAGAGACAGGACACTCCAATGACTCCTCTGTCTAATGAGCCACAGGGAGAAAGGTGGGGGGTGCGGGGGGGTGGACGTAGGGTGTAGAGATGGGTATAGTAGGGACGCAGGGACAGGAAGTCTGCAGCAGCAACTTGAATGTTGGGATGGAAATAGAAGGAGAAGAAGGACAGGGGGACGGGGGGTGAGAGAGAGGAGGGCGAGCTGGAGGAGAAATGGGGGAGGAGGGAGGTTTGGTGTGATGCAGGCCGGTCGGCAGAGGAGGTGACGGGAGGAACAGAAGATGGATCTCAGGATTTAGTTTTCTTGCAGTTTGAGACAAAGTCTTTTGTCTTCTACTCATAATAAAACACTGAGATCACGTATCTGAAGAAACGCTTCTCTGAGCTGCTGTCACACGGGAACCGGACTCATGACGTCTGCTCAAGATTTAAATCCAAAGATGATTATTCTCTATTTGACACGAGAATAAAACTGAACACGTCAAAATAAAACCGCTGAACCAAACTGGATCGATCATCTCGCTGATTTTAATTTTAGTTTGTAAGAAAATGTGCAGAGAGAAGAGGGACTGTAACTGAAAGACACGGGGGAGACAGAAGAGAGTGATGAGAAAGAGAGTGGACGCAGAGAGAGGAGTGAGAGACAGATTCTTCTGAATGTTTTAATTATTTAACGGTGCTGGACGAACTCTTCACTCATACATGTTGAAGGTGATAAATATCTGATTTGATTTTGTTGTATATTTAATAAATATATTTAATAAATATATTTAATAAATATATTTAATAAATATCCACGTGTTAGTGATAGAAAATGAATCAGCTCTGAAACAGCAGCAGAATCATCGTCTTCAAAAGTTCCCATCCACAATCACACGTCCCCAAATTAAATCAGGATCACGGCCCAGTGGTCGGACGCCTCCACCAACCAGCCCCTCCGTGTGTTCCTGAGATTCTGCATTGACCTTTGACCTCCTGAATCAGTTCATCCTTGATTCCAACTGTTGATAATAAAATTTGAGGAAATTCCCAAAAGGCGTTCTTGAGATATCACGTTCAAAACAGAGCAGACGACACGAACGCACAAAGCCTCCGGCCCACTGGGTGTCGCCGGCGTGGGGGAGTGCACACTGTTGTGTTTGTACCTTTGTATTCTTGTCCTGTGGTGCTGATGTGCATCCTCTTCTGACACTCGCCGCAGCTCATCAGGAAGTGAGTCACCGCCTCTCTGGGCAGGAAGGCGTACGTCTCTGCAATCTGAGACACAGACGGAGAGAGGTCGTCTTTTATACTTCAAACTCAAATGACAGAACCAAGTTGAAGAAATTCCCTCAAGTAGAGTCACACATCACATTCAAGATGTTTCCACAGGGTTAGGGCGACGGAACAGTGACCTCTGACCTCTGACCTGTGATCAGTTCATCACAGAGAACCTGACAGAAGTCCTCTGAGGAAAAACACCAAACTGTAATCAGGTGATCAGGTGAAGCAGACGATCCTCTCCGACCTCCACGCTCTGAACATACTGGTCTTTATCTGTTCATACTATTATCAGTGCTTTACAGTTATTACGTCATTTCATCACAAGTGTTCAGAGAAGTGTTCTTCTCAAACAATAATTCACATCACTGTTAACTGGATCATTCATTCACTCATTTGTGTCTTTAAATTCCCCTGACATTTAATATTTGTACATTTATATCTATTTGTGTGTAGATTCATATTTGTGCATCTTTTCTTTCTCAGAATGTGTCGAGATGATAAAAGTGTTTTATCTGATTTGTTGAATTATTCATGTCGAAGTAAAAAACCAGGAACAAAAGAAACTTTACTGTGAGGGAGCGACTCTAGAATCAATCGTTTATCTCTTCATCATTCCAGACGTTCGTCGCCTACATGTCAACAACTAATTGGCCGAGAAGACGAGCCGCCGCTTCCTGTTTCAAGAGGAACCTGCTGCAGATCATAAAATCAACTGTGGCTGAATGTGCATCTGCTTAAATCACACATTTATTCTGGAAGAGAGGCACAAAGGACGGGGGGAGGATATCCAGCGTGGGTGGAGGGGGATGCTCCAAAGCCTCTGTGTGTGTGTCTGTGTGTGTGTGTGTGTGTGTGTGTGTGTGTGTGTGTGTGTGTGTGTGTGTCTGTGTGCGTGTGTCTACGTGCATGTGTGTGTGTATGCGTGTGGGAGGGGGGGTGTCAAACACAGTCTTTGGCCTGAAGAACTGAAGAGATGCAGCGGTGACTTAATTCCTGTATTTACAGTAAATATAAAACTGTCTAAACCAAGTCTGTGGTAAAGACACAACTAAACAACAACGTTTGATAAAAGTTGATAAAGAAGAAAAGTGAGAAAGGTTTAAGATAGAAAAATAAAAACTAGAAGAATCGGAGCTGTTGTACTGAAGGTTCAAACCTGCACTTACTCTGTTCCACCAAAAGAGGGCAGTGAACCTACACAACCGTCAACACATTCAAGTGAAACCAGGAAACCTGAAACATGTGGTCGGCTTCAGGTCTGAAGGTTTCTATGTTTGAGTCCCCGCTGAGGAATAAAGACGACGAGAGAGTCGTCAACAGAATCCATCAGTCACTCCATGTTAAGACGTCTTTCAATAGTTTATAGTTATTCTTGCTTTTAAAATCTATTGGACGTTATTTAAGTGTCAGTGTTTGTCTCATCAGTGTGAATCACGTCGAGCTGCTCGAAGTGACCGACGCTGTTTCAGTGAAGGTTTGTTCAACCAGTGAATCGAACCCAGAATCTTCATCATCACAAACACAAAGAAAAGTTGTGAAACTAAGAAGAGGTTGGATTTCAGTTTGAGAAACTAAACAACAGGTTTCTATGGGTCCGCTGATCAATCAGTGAACTCGTGTCTCTACTGATCTCTGATCTCTGAAAATGAAAACCTGAGGTCAAGAATCCTTTAGTTTCTGAAGTGAAACTGAAACTGGATCAGATTCGTCAGAAGGAAAAAGAGGAATGAAGCCAAACTGAAGAGGAAGAGAAGGGGGGGGGCAGTGTGTGAAGCAACAGACGAGTTGTGACAGAGAGAGTCCAGGAGTGTGAGGCCACCATGACGGGGGAGGGGGGGGACTTACAGCCTTGTAGGTTTTCTTCTGGCCGGCGTGTTTGGGAGCTTTGCCTGGATCGCTGCCGACCTCCACGTGCATGGAGTAGATGATGTCGAAGAAATCCTCCACCACCGCCACGCGCTTCAGGGACGAGTCGACCCCGGAGACACTGTCCACACACTGGGGACAGACAGAGGACAAACTGTCTGATGAACTTTATTTTGACCTTTGACCTCTTTTAAAAACTCTTTTAGAAATACAGGTTTTTAAAACGTAATAAAAACTTTCACCATCACGACAATCTCCTGTTTGATTTAGAGATACTTTGTCGAAGGGGAAATTCTTTTTTCACAATCCCACACACACACAGGGCTCATAGACCTGCATCATGGTGGAGTGACGGGCGGCACGGAGAAGCGCCCGCGAGCAGTTTGAGGGTTCGATGCCAAGAAGAAACAGAATGATTCATTTCATTTCTCCTCTGAGCAACAGAACATAAGTAACGAGTCGAAAGGTTAAACGACCGAAAACACGTCTGAAAGAATTTTATACTTCCATATGACAACCTGTTGAGTGTGTGTGTGTGTGTGTGTGTGTGTGTGTGTGTGTGTGTGTGTGTG